TGCTGACCCCAAGGGTCTTCTCTCAGCTGCGACAGCCACTCCTCGGCAAGTCTGTGAGGCCATGAGGACCCCCAGCCTGAGTGCGCCTGCACCCACGCCCACGCGCTCCCCCTCCTCGGGCCCAGCGACCTGCTGTGCACCTGCCTACCCCTGGCCAGAGACAGGGCCACCTCCCCGTGCTCACACCCCGGCTGCCGGAAAGCAAATGCTGGGGTTGGCGGGGCTGCAAGAGCAAGTGAGGCCAAGAGACGAGGGGTGAAGCTCAGACACGGCCCACAGGCCACCGAAGGACACATGGGACGGGCGTGGTCAGCGTGACCACCGAGGGCAGCACGGCTCTCAGGGCCCTCCGGCTGCCGACCAGGAGAGGTTCCTCGGGCCCAGCTGGTCCATCCATCTGCCGCCCCTCACCGCCACCGGGTCGCGGAGACTCACCCTCCATCTCCCGCACGGCCTGCTCGGACCTTTCCCGGTAGATTCTGTCTAAACGCCTCTGCTTCTCCTCCTCCCGCTTTCTCTCCGCCAGCGTCCTGGCGTTCACATCCTGAAAGTCCACCTGAGAAATCGAGATAAAATCCAACTGAACAGAACAGAAAGAGTCAGAACAGGCCCCGGAGAAGCAGCACCGGCACCGCCCGCACCAGGCCTCAGTGTGTCTCCAGTTCAGTGTTTAAAACACCAGGGACCCGCTGGGCGGCAGGCTTAGCCCCTGGCAGAGCCCGGCCGGCAGCACCTCCCAACAAAGGGAGGCGGACAGGCCGCGTCACTCCATCAACAGGGACGGGCGCCGCCGGCTGGGCCGGGGCCGAGCCCACCACCTGAGGACGCGGGAGAGGCGCCAAAGGGTGTGAGGGTCCGAGGGTGGGGGCTTGTCAGAGAAGGGCTCTCGCTGTCCTTTCTTCCCCTGCCCACCTGTGGGCACCGGGGCCACAGGCTCCACTCCCCTCACCCTGGGGAGCTTCCCGCTTCTCCCCAGAGCTGCGCCTCCCACCTGCTGGCCGCTCTCTGGCCTTCTCGGGCCCCAACCCTGGCCCAGCCGCCGAGGGTCCCGGGCACGGCTGTCCACCACGCGAGGCCCACGCACCTGCTGGCTGTGTCTCAGGAAGTGGTAGCCCAAGGAAAGCTTCTTATAGGCCGCGCCAAACTTCTCGCTCCAGCCCTGGACAGCCCGGGCGGCAGCCTGCCTCAGCCTCTGGGCCGCCTCCCGGGGGGGCGGCAGGGGCTGCCGGGGGTCGGTGCCCAGCGTGAGCTCCAGGAACCCCTGGAAGTCGGAGACGACCAGCAGCCGGAACAGGTGGGAGCGGGCGAAGAGCTCCTCGGCGACCTGGAAGGCGGAGAGGCGGACCTCGGCGTGCTCCTGCCGCAGCTGGGCCGTCAGCAGGTGGTAGGCGCGGCTGAGCTGCTCCTCCGAGGACCTGGGGACCCACGTCCTTACCAAGCGCCCGCCGCGGGGGGAGTCTCCGCCAGCGGCAGGGGCACGCCCTCTCTGTCCTCCTTCCCCCCCTTGTGCGGCCACCCCCAGCCCTTCTGCTTCCGTAAAACCCGAGCCGGGCCCTGGCCAGAGCGGCGTCCTGTGCACCGAAGGGTTGTGGGTTCAGTGCCCAGCTGGGGCGGGCACAGGAGGCAGCCCATGGATGCTGCTCTCTCTCCCCGCCCCTCCACATTCTCATGTGAGGTTAAGCAAAACAAAACAAAACAACAAAAAACAAAAGAGCCCACAGCGTCCTGCGGGGAAGGGGGACGCAGGGAGACGGCCGGCCACAGCCCTGGCTTCCCCCGCTGAGCGGCTGCGCACAGGCCACCCTGCCACCTGCCCGGCGGCTGCTGATGGCGGGTCTTCTGGGCGAACAGTCTGGGCTGGAACCTTCCCGGGGGATGTAAGTTCTCATCGCGGAATAAGCCACCTTCCAACC